AAAAAAAAAAACAATTGGTTTTGTTCGGTAAAGAAGGAAAAATTTTTGAATTACAAAAAAATCATTCTGTTTTATCTTACTTCCCCCAATTATTTTTACTATACGTACCTTTTTCAAAATTTTATGGCTCCTTTCTTGTTTAGAATTTTTTTTTTCTTTCTTTCTCTTTTGCAAATTTACACTTTTGATCTGTTGAGAAAAAGGCATTAAGGAAGGATGGAAAGTGGTTTTTTTATCTCATTAGCACCATTTAAAATTGTTTTTCGTGCAATTAATTCCAGAATTTTATTTGTGACTTTATTTCCCATATTAAAGCAATATTCTATAAAAACGAATATGTAAACAGTGTCGGAAAAAAATATGAGTTTGTATGATTTACCTGCGATATAGACGTATATAAAAAATATCAGTATAAAAAAAATATTAATATAAATAAATAAATTAATAAATGAATAAATTAATTAATTAAAATATATGCATATATATAGTTGAGATAAGTGTAATGCTGAAAACTCTGTCATTTCTATCAACTTGTTTGAGCTTTAGTTCTTTTGCGTAAAGTTTAAAAGTGAGGGGTAAAAGTGAACGAACGGTAAGAGAGATTCTGTGAACAGCAAAATTAGACATAAAAAGCATAGATAGGATAATTCTTAAAAGTGATTTACTGCATTAGTAGTTGCTTTTATATAAATTAGTATATAGAAATATGTGTATTTCTTTATATATGTATATACGTTGAAACGTATTTGAAGCTTTCAAAAATCGAACATGTGATTCTAAGACAGATGAGAGAGGTAAGAAGTTAAAGAATCTGAAAAAATGAATGTGCATAGACTTTTGCAACCATTTTCAATATTGTTTAATCAATTTTTTATCTTTTTTTTTTAATTATTTCACTCCCTTTTTCTTTTGGTTTTGGCCGTAATTTTACTACTTTTTTTTTCTTTTTTTTTGCATCTTCGTTTCTTTTTTCTTCACTTTTTTTTTTCGAATGAATAGATGAATAGTTACGACAGAAAAATTGCACTGAGACAAAAAGAGAAGCTTAACAGAAAAATGATTGTGTGAAGTTAACAAATTCTTTATCATAAACCTATAAAAGTAAAAAATTTACCATCAGAAACAATAGGATAAATTAGCCATTGATAGGTAAGAAAGTGTCGTTCAGAAACAGTTCACGTATCGATTCATTTGGAAGGGGATGGGAAGCAGGGGGGAGA